TGATCTTCTTGGCAGTTAGACCATTTGGGCTTCCAAAAGTCCAAACCATGGTTTAAAAATAATTAGCCTTGAATGACCATGTTACTTTTGAAAACCTATACTTTGAAACTAAGTGTTCATTCTTCATAATAAGGTATCTGTGTTTTTCACCTAACTACTATTCCATTCTAGTGATATTTCCATTTGTCATTATGTGGATTTGTGTGATATTGGGAAAGGGTGTTGTGAATGGAAGCTGGATCAATCATCCCATTCATTGCTCATACTTTGCCAATTCTAGATCTTGTCTGAATGTCAATTATTGCCAATCTTCTTAAATGAATTTATGAAATAGTTTTTCAATTGATCCATAGAATCTTAATTCCTAAGGGGGCAATATCAGAATTTTAGAATTAGAAGAAAGGGAACAAGCATTTATTTAGCACCTACTGTTTGCCAGTCAGTGTGCAATACACTTCACACGTATTATCTGTTACTCCTCACAATAGACTTGCACAACTTGGCAGTAGGTAAGGGCCAAAATTAAAATAGGCTAAACTTCTTCGGGACACAGATAGATTTTTAACAGTTCACTTTCCAAGTAAAGGTATAGTTAATGATTAAACTATTTTGCAAATAAACCATATTTTAAAAAAAGGAAATTTCAGTTAATATCAATTAATTACACTTATTACTTGAGATTTTTATTCATCATGAAATCACTCCTTTCAGACTAGAGACAGACTGACAATGGTTGGTTGCCGTGGGTCATGGGACAAACAGGAGTGAGTACACAGTGGCAACCCACCCACCAAGTTACATGATGGGCACAATAGTGACCAGCGGAAGGTGGGTTAAGCGGGCATGGACAAAGCACTTGTCACATCTCTATTTTCTTTTGCATCCTCTGCATTTTTTGCAGACCATATGTTGTACAGGCTTGCCTTACAACAACCCTGGGGGTAGGTTATGTTATTTCCCTCATTTTACAATTGAGAAAATTGCAGCAAAATGAAGTTAAATGACTTGCCTGGGTCACACAGCTATTAAGTCTATGAGGCTGGATTTGAACTCGAGTCTTCAGGACTCCAGGCCCTGCACAGCGTCCATTGCCTCAGGAAGGGATTTCAGGAGCCATCTAGGCCAGCCTATACATGCAAAGGAATCCCCCACTGCTGTCTCCCTGAGGTATCATCCAGTCAGTTTTCGCCTTCAGACCTCCAGGGAAGGGGAGCTTGTTACCTCGTGAAACAGCCAGTTCTTTGTGTACTCCTTATGGCTGGGAATTTTCTTCTGACATCAAGCTTATATTTGTCTCTTAGCGATTTCTACCCATTACCCCACTTTTGCCCTATGGAGTCAGACCAAGTCTCATCTCTTTTTCACATGAGAGCTCTCAATGTGACTGGCCAGGGTAGAAAATACAATAACTTTATTATATATTTAAAAGGAAATAGTAAGTTGTATATGATAGATTTGCAGTTTCATGTTCAATCATCTTTTTTTTAAATTATACTATGTTATAGAAATGCTTGCTTTATTCCATAAATTAAAAAAAAATAAAATTTAAATTAAAAGAAGTATATAGGAAGACTATTCTACTTATTCCTGGAAACACCCTCTCTTAATAAAAGTCCCTAATCACATTAGTTATTTGGACTGCTAATTCACAGTGAATTCACAGTCCTCTAGGACCCGTCTAGGTCTTTTTCTGACACACTGGTGTCTAAGCACTTGTCCCTCAGCCTGCACTTGTCCCTCAGCCTGCACTTGTGAAATCGATTTTTTGAACCCCAGTGTAAGAATTTTTACCTTTAGTCTGATTGAATTTCATCATATTAGAGTCAGCTGGGTGCTTTAGGTTGTCAATTATTATGAATCCCAACAACTGGCATCTAGTATGTTAGGAATCTCCCTCAGCTGTGCACATCCTGTAAATGTATAGTGTGCTCCCTATGTCTTTATCCAAGTCATTAATAAAAGGATGAAACAGCTCAGGGCCAAGCGCAGATCTGAGACACTCTACTGAAGATTTCTTGGAAAGTTGACCCTAAAATACTCTTTGAGTCAAGCCATTTGTCTTTTCAGGTTTTGTCTGTTACCATCTAGTTCACATCTTTACATATTCCATTCATGATAGTATGAGATACTTTATCAAATGCTTTATGAAATTTAGGCAAAATATATCCATAAAAATTCTTCCTCCCTTTCTTCTCCCTCCTCTCTCCTTTTCCCACTTCTTTCCCGTATCTTTCCCCAACTTCTCCCTCATCCTTCTCCTTTTCCTTCCTTCCCTTTCCTCCTCCTTCCTCCCCTTGTATTCCTTCTCTTTTTCTTCTCCCCTTTGCCTATCTTCTTCCTTCCCTTCCCTTCCCTTTCCCTTTCTCTTTCCCTTTCCTTTTCCCTCTTTCCTTTCTCCTTTTTCCTTTTTCCTTTCCTTAACATCTAATGTTTTAAAGCATTAATTTCTTTCCAGTATTAATTATAATTATATTAGTATTAAATGACAGCAATGATATTCTTTGTATACATTACTGACTTACAATAAGAAATTTATTTATCTAGTGGTATTAGTTGATTTATATCTCTCAATTGATAATCACATATGAAATACATTTCCCCATGGAAAAAAATACCAATAAATTGAACTCAATAATTATTTAGGGGCAATTAAAATACTAGCTAGTCCTATGACACGTGCAAAGTGTTTTATTAGCAGGGTAGTATCCCCACCATAGAGTTGGGTTCCCACTTTTCTTTTGCAACACTTCCTTCATGCAGTGTCTTTCCTATGTCATTATCCTATCCACCTTCTCCTGGACCCTATGTTCTGTTTTCTTTTTTCTCTACTGACTGTACACTCATAATAGGAGAAAGAGCAATGTGCCCATATACAGGTAGTCACCAACCACTCCAACATTTCTCGGAGAATTTAAATGAACTTGCTCAAGGTAGTATATGTCAGAATTGAATCCAGATCTTCTGACTACAAAGACCAAACACTGATTACTACCAGTATGACCTTGGACAACAAAGCATTTAGGTACTGTGCCTCATTCACAGTTAAATGGTTGAAAGTTAAAACTGAAAAACAGTTTTGACAAAAGGAAACTGGTCCAAAGTAAAATTTTATTTGAATCTGAAATTATGTATAATAATGAACAATTAATGGGAGACACAACACGGTTTATTGGTTCAAGAGCTAGGCTCATACTGGGGCTATATGAACCTGAGCAAGTGACATTTCTCAGTTCCTTCAAGTAATTACCTAAGATTTTAAATTATAGGAGCAGCTAGGTGGTGTAGTAGATAAAGCACCGGCCCTGAAGTCAGGAGGACCTGAGTTCAAATCCAGCCTCAGACCAAACACTTGACATTTACTAGCTGTGTGACCCTGGGCAAGTCACTTAACCCCAATTGCCTAAAAGAAATTTTTTTTTTTTAAATTACAGAGCAGTTTGCTGACTTGTGTTGGTAAAGGGAGTTTTCTTAAGGGGAAGTCCCAACAATAGCTGTTGCCAAAATGAGATCTTCAGACCTCTAGGGCATTGGTGTCAAAATCAAAGAGAGATGGATCCCATATTGACTTAGAAAACCACAAATTAACAATCTCTATATTGTATTGTATTTTTATTTCTTTTGTTAAGCATTTCGAATTACATTTTAATCTGGTGTGTTTCCCTTCTGCTCAACCCCAATACATGCTGCCCATTCTGGGAGTTTGACACTTCTGCCCTAGAGGATTTCCCCAGACTTTTTCAGGGGGTCCATGAGGTCAAAATTATTTTCGTAATAATACTAAGAAATTATTTGCCTATTAAAGTACTTCTTCCTTTTCAATTATATACCTACATGAGACCAGATTTTCTTCATACATTTCAACCAAAACAGCATCACAATAAATTGAATGCAAAAACAGATATGATAATCGAACTGTCTTCTGTTAAGTCAGATGTTAAAAGAATTACAAAAAACACATGAAACAATGACACTTTTTTCACTAGCTTTTGAAAAAAAATCATTATTTTTCATAAAAATGTTATGTTGACACGTAAGGGATTTATTATAGTTATTTTTTTATTCATTATTCAATAGGTATTTATTTAGCACCTACTGTGTGCAAGGGCACTGTGAAAAATACAGATTTGGGGGCAGCTGGGTTGCACAGTGGATAGAGCACTGGCCCTGAAGTCAAGAGGACCTGAGTTCAAATCCGGCCTCAGACCAAACACTTGACACTTACTAGCTGTGTGACCCTAGGCAAGTCACTTAATGCCAATTGCCTAAAAATTAAAAAGAAAAAAGTAAAATACAGATCTGCACAAGATTATTTCTCCTTCCAAGACCTTACTTTTTTTTAAAATAATTTATTAATTTTTAGTTTTCAACCATCACTATAAACTTTTGAGTTTTAAATTTTCTCCCTCTCCTCTGTATTATCATTATTTTTAAATGAACAAATAAATACTTTACAATTTTATCAGTTTCCATTTCTAATATGGTAAATATTGATAGATATAATGCTCTTTGGGGTCCTTAATTATGAAGTATGTGAAGAAGGCCTGAGGCTAAAAAGCTTGAGAACCACTGCCTTGTATCAGTGAGATCACAAGTCTGATCCCCCCAAAATAAACAGGGGTAGACCATGATTTACCAAGGTAGGAACCAATTAATACATAATTCTTTTGCCCCACCAAATATTTACCAATTATTACAAATGGATCATATATATATGTATGTATGTATATATGGAAACTGTTTAATTTAGATTTCATTTTTATTCTATTTCTTGAATATTATTTTCCCCTTCTTTTGTTTTCTTACTGTCTTTTCTCTTTTTTTCTTTATGTTGGAAATCTCTCTTCTGTTGCTTTCCTATGTCATTTAAAAGGACAACTCCACCTAAACGGTAACTGTTTGGAATCTGTGTAGGTATTTTAAACCACCAAGCCTTTGTACTTTCTTAACATTTTAAGTTCCAGACCTCATCTTTCTTCTTTTTTTTCCCTCCACTTGAATAGACCACCAAGGAAGCACATTGTGGAACGTTATACAGAGTTTTACCACATACCCACTCATAGTGATGCAAGCAAAAAGCGATTGATTGAGGATACTGAAGACTGGCATCCAAGGACAGGAACCACACAGTCCCGTTCTTTCCGGATCCTGGCTCAGATCACCGGCACTGAACACCGTAAGTTGCCATTTTGTTAAAAGAATAAACTTAGTCAGGGTGCAGCCTGCCCTGTAAAGAAAAATTGCCCAGAAAGCCAGGTGTGGCAGTTAATAGAATGTTGAACTTGAGTGTGATTCTTACATCTAAAATTTACTAGATTTGTGGCCCTGGGTAAGTCATTATTTAACTCTTTGAGCCCAAGTTCTTATCTATGAAAGAAAAGTGCTTTGCAAACCTAAGAGTGTTGTATAAATGTGAGTTATTACAAGAGAGAGTATGTGGTGAGGCTAAAAAAAAATTAGAAATATTTCCTGGAACAATTTACTTTGAAATTATTTTTAGCACTTGATCTATTTGAATTACAATGGCAATAAATGGTGACATTTGGAAACATTTACTTGTAGTCAGTTGTTGTGCAGTACAGAATTTGAAATGGCTTTGCCAAACTTAAATGCTTACTAATAAGAAGCAGAGTTTTGAATGTTTTGAAAATACTAAAAAGTAATATAAAATATTGCTTATTTCTGTTTTCAGTGAAAGAGTCAGACAGTGATAATACAAAGAAGACAAAGTAAGTTAATTTAAAATTGAATGCTTTCCCTTTGTGTGTGCTCTGAACGTTTTATAAATTTGAAAATGTGATATGGCACTTTGGCCTATGTTATATTGCAAGTCTGAAGCTCAGTTCTAGCGCATTTCATATCACGCTGGAAGTCGTTCTTGAAATTGTTTTAATGAGCATGTAAATCATGGGTGTATATGTTGAGTTTCATTTTCCTTAATCCTGAACTCAGGTTTGTGTGGTGTGTGTGTGTGTGTGTGTGCACTTGTGGGGCTTTCTTATTTTAACAGCTGGCCACGAATGAGACCGTGCTGTTTTTTTGCCACTTTATAGTCACTTTATTTTAGGCGCAGATTTGGACATTATCCACTTAGATCCTGCTTGAATCTAAATGAGTGTTTCATTCCTGAAGCATTTTGCTGTTCACAGTATTAGCATGGACTATAAGGAACCTAGAAGGTTAATGCTGTGGAAGATTGTCATTGTTTAATGCATGCTTTCTGCATGCTTCATTTGATATCTGTCGAATTAAAAGATCAGAATCTTCTTCCCTTTCTATTTCTTATGATTTTCCTATCACCTTTTTTTTCCACAGGGAAAAGATACCCCTTCACATCTTTAGTCCCAAATACACAAAGTTACGTGACTGGCACCATGAAGTTTCAGCACGTGCCCTTAATGTACAGTGATTTACCAGAATTGTTCCCAACCAAAAAAACAAAACTTCAACATACTTTTACTTTCTCTGTTTTTTTCTCAAATGCTTTGCAAAATCTGTATTTAATTTGCTCTATTAAGATCAACTCTATCTTTTTCTACACTTTTCTAACAGCTTCCTACTGATGTATAAAGAGTGAGAGGAACATGGTTTGTGCTTAATCAGTAATTAACAAATGTTCAGTATAAAGACAGCAAACTGAAGGGCTCGACGTTTCTTCATTTTGTATTTCCATCATTATTATTAATGACCATCTCCTACCAAGAAGGGTTCCTTTTGTGGTTGAGCTTGATTATCTGTAGGTTGTTAAAAAGCAGAGGATGATGAGCAAATGAGCATTCTTGGCTATTTTGAAAAACACTGCATATGGCAGAACTTCCTCTTAAAGTTCTGTAGAAACTCAGCAAGAATGTTCAGTATGAATAATAAATGAGCAGAAATGGGGGAGGGGGTGAGATAGGAAAGGAGATTTCCCTAGAGAACACACATTTGTCCACACTTCCTCAGAGTAAACATTTGGTAGCTGCTGGTTACCTTTTTTAAAAAGGCACTACTGGAGGTTTGTTAATGGAATGGGATGACCCCTAGAGGTGGCCACGGAAAAGGGAATGGATGGATCATTGCTTAAAGAAGATAGCCCAGGATGCTGTTGTACTTACCCTTCATTTAAGCAGTTGCCATGAGAAAATGCAGTAGCTCTTTTTAAAAATTCTTCAGATAAAAATTCAATTTTCTACCAAAAGTAATTTTTTTTTACTTAGTCTACAGCGCAGACCATCTCTAGCATTTCAACAGGTTTCCAAATCTCTAAACTAAAAGTAGAATATGGAGAAGATTGTATATGTGTGTTTGTGTGTCTCCATATGTGTGTGTGTGTGTATATATGCATATGTGTATATATACATTATACACACATCAAATGAATATATTATATACTATTCTATTACCGTATAATATACATTATATAACTGTGTTATAATTTGAGGAAGACATTTGAACATCATAGAAACATGACAACTTTGAGGTGATATTTATTACTTATGATTGGCTATTTGTAAGAAACGATTTTCAGAGTATTTATGGATGCTATTTAGCTTATCATACTGCTTTTCTTGTAATATAATGTATTATAATAGATTTAAATTCAGTAAAATGCTTTTTGAAGTTTGAAAAGTGTTAAAAAATAAAGTTGCTTTTAACTTAGATTTCTTCTTGTTCCATTTCTTTGAGGACTTTTACTGATGCTTTTGAATTTGTCAGTCTTGGTATGATGACATTTTAGGTAAAATAGACATGAGACACAAATACCTAATAAAAGATATCAGAGCTATCTGCTATTTTTTTTAAAGAATGGTATAAATAAAATGATAATAGCCTATTTTCCCCTCCATCCTAATCTGATTTTCTGTCCTTGTCTGTACTTTTAGAAAATTGGGTTGCTGTTATTTTTATGTAGTTTCAGTCAAAGGATAGGCTTTTATTTCTGCTTTCTTTGCTTTGCATCATTTAATCAGCCTTTTCATTTCTCTTTGTAGTCTTCATATGTGTGATTTTTGTAATGTAAAAGTATTCTATTACTTTAACATACTCTAATTTATTCAGCCATTCCCTAATCACTGGGTATATTAAGTTGTTATTTTTTTTTATACTAAGGCAATGGTGACTGTTTCTGTATGGAAAGATCTTGTTCCCCCAGTTAACATCTCTGTTATGTTATGCCAGTACTAGTGATTGTCCCAGCTCTTCTACTTACTTCCTGGATGACCCTAGAGAACTCATTTAGTGCTCTGGTTTTCAGTTTCTTCATCTGTAAAATGAAAGCATTGGCCTAAATGTTTGCTGTCCAAGGTCCCTTAAAACTCTGCACCCTATGATCCTGTATAGATCAAAGGATATGCTTCATATTGCAGTTCTTAGTTATTGCCAGATTGTTCTCCAAAAAAAGATCTCATTACTTTTTTTCAAAAGTTGTATATCGGGGCAGCTAGGTGGCGCAGTGGATAGAGCACTGGCTCTATCTAGTCAGGAAGACCTGAGTTCAAATCCAACCTTAGACACATAATACTTCCTTGCTGTGTGACTCTGGACAAGTCACTTAACCCTAATTGCCTCACTTTAAAAAAAAAAAAGTTGTATATTAAACAATTGCCAGCAAGTTAAGAACAACAGCCTTGCAACAGGAAAATCCTTGCCACAAAACAGGTCAGCAAATGGCCCGCTACTTGTGGTCTTATGTGTTGCCTGGGATGCACTGTATGAGTCTGAGGCAAGACTTGACTATGTCTTCCTGATACTTCACCTGCTGCTAGTGCTTAAATGCTTTTCCTAGTTTATGGTATTCAAGAACTTTCTTTGGGGGGGAGGCCGTCGGGGTTGGGTGACTTGCCTTGGGTCACACAGCTAGTTTGAGGTCAGATTTGAACTCAGGTCCTCCTGACACCAGGCATCTAGCTCTCCCCCTCCCCACCCCCCAAAAAAACTTTCTAAGATTATTTTTAAAGGAAACAGATGTGCCCTTTCTTAATGTAGTAAGCAAGGGTTGGCAGAAAGATTTTCCTCCCAATGCTTTAGTTATTTAAAATCTTGGAGATGTTATACTCCCATTAAGTTCAAATCTGTATGCATTTGTTTTAATACTACATTCAAGGCACTGTGCCAGATACAGGGTATAATCTGTAAAGACAAAATGTAAGTGTCTCCACCCTCAGGTACTTTAAGTTCTACTGGGGAGGGAAGGGGAGGAGAATCAGCATGTAAACAGCTAAGGATTTACATGGTTATTTGATAAGAGAATGAGCAGTTAAAACCAGGGAGTGTAGAAAAAGCTGAATCATCTTCTTATGTAAATGGAAAAAAAAAAAACACCAAAAGGAAAAGCTGTGTAATTTGGGGGTTGTTGAATAAAGATCATCTCAATACACATAATACAGGAAATCCTTGCTTTTCATTTCAGTGTTTTCCTAGGAATTGCATCATAAATCACATTTTGTTAAATAATGTTTTCAGATAAGAAGGGCATTAGAATAAGGTTTCTGTTTCTGATTGAGTTTTCACCAGCAAATACATTGTAGATATCAAAGCAATAGTCATAAAACCAGTGATGCAATAAAAAATGTTTTGGGGCCCAGTCTGTGATTTCCTGGGTTTAGAAAATTCCCAGTGTGGAATGTGCTTCCTCCAATGTCAAGAACTTATCTAGAATTCTCAGTCTTAGAGTGGGAGAGTTGCTGTGTAAATGAGAGGTTAAATAACTTCCCCCTGGTTGCACAGCTGATATGTGGCAGAGACAGCCCTTCAACCCAGAGGTCTTGTCTTTAAGGCCAGCTCTCCATGTAGTATTCATCTGTATAATGATTTAACTTAGGAAAATCACACTCCAAGTCTTAACATTTTTCAAAATGGAAGAAACTTTGTAATTAGGTAGACCAGTCCTCTCATTTTGCAGGTAAAGAAATTGAAATTCCTTAACTTCTTTTTGTCTTAATTTTAAGAATTCATGAAGGGGTTGATCCCTGACCTTTTCATTCTACAACTAATTTGACGTTAGAGAGCAAGTATCTCTGTCTTTTTTATTTTTTTGGCTAGGCAATGGGGTTAAGTGACTTGCCCAGGGTCACACAGCTAGTAAATGTCATGTGTTTGGTCTGAGGCCAGATTTGAACTCAGGTCCTCCTGACTTCAGGGCCAGTGCTCCAACCACTGCACCACCTAGCTTCACCAGCAAGTGTCTCTCGAATCATATCCTCTTGCTGCTTTTTTCTTTGATCCCACTTACCATGAAGAAAAATTTTGAAGAAGAAAATACATTGCACAGAGGTGAAGCATAAGAGTGGGTCTATGACACAGGAAGGGAGGCAATTGATAAAGATAGGGAATGGGGCAATTTCATGCGGATTTTAGTCTTAAGGCCTTTTTAACAATGGCGATCTTCTTGCCCTTCCTAATTCAGCAAAAACAGTGTTTCAGAAACTAGGGCATGAATGTGTCAAATCATAATTAAGTAAAATATAAATGATATGAGGCTATCATATATATGAAGAAATGCTTTGTACCTTTCACCACGTAAAAACACGTACCAAATAATTGTTCATGGTATTTGTTTTTAAAATGTTGTTGTATAGTGTTTCTGGAGTGCAAAATGTAATACACTATTCAATCCCTCCAGAAGTTTTATTTCAGTTGCATGAACCATTTTTGTTGTAAGTCAAAAATTTTACTTAATACTGATGCACAACATACCCGTGTCTTGTTCAAAATTCTAGATAAGATAGAGCATCTTCTCAGAGGCTCT